ATCCCGAAAAATGCCAACCCGGAAATAAAGAAAGATTTGAGATCCATCGCGCTATGTAACGTGTTGTATAAAATAGCAGGGAAGGTCTGTGCAAATAAGTTAAAGCCACTACTTGACAAGCTTATTTCCAAAGCGCAAAGTGCGTTCGTGCTGGGACGCCTCATTACAGATAATATAATGCTGGCGTTCGATGCTCATCACTTCCTAAAGCGAAAGACATAGGGGAGAAGTGGAGTGGCAGCCCTCAAAATTGACATGAGCAAGGCGTACGATCGGGTTGAGTGGCAGTTTCTCAGTGTTGTGATTCTCAAATTGGGGTTCAGTAAAAAATGGGTGAACATCCTCATGGAGATGGTCAGTACCGTGGAATACCACATCTTACACGAGCAGAAACAGTTGGGCCCAATTACGCCAGAGCGAGGACTTAGGCAGGGCGACCCCCTGTCACCCTATCTATTTCTGATGGTAGCAGAAGGGCTGAGTGCATTGATCGATAACAGGATGAATAGAAGATTATTGCATGGGGTTAGGATTGCGAGAGGGGCACCGCCAATCTCGCATCTACTATTTGCGGACTACTTCTTCCTATTTTTGCGGGCCAACTCTAACAAAAGCCAGCAAATGAGGGAGGTTTTAGATGTGTACGCAGTTGCTATAGGTCAGATGATCAATTATGAAAAGTCAGTGGTTTGTTTTATTGCTAATGTTGATCAGCAAAGTAAGGATGATGTAATAAGAGTCTTGGTGTTCGTTTGGGAGACACGGTCGGGAAATATCTTGGGTTGCCCTCTCTGGTAGGGAAGAATAAAAGCCAGATTCTAAACTTTCTAAAGGAGAAAATCCCGAATCGGGTTCATAACTGGAAAACAAGGTTTTTATCACGAGCTGGGTGTGAAGTGCTGCTCAAGAATGTACTTTAGGCCCTGCCGTGTTACACCATGATGGTATTCTTGATCCCGGTAAGTCTGAGCAATGAGATTGAGGTCATCCTAAATCCTTACTGGTGGAATGGAACGGTTAATGATACCAGGGACCTGAGGCGGAAACCGTGGCGTGGGCTGTGTATGCCTAAAGCTAAGGGATGTTTGGGATTTAGGAGGATAAGAGAAATGAATCTTGCTCTTTTGGGGAAGCAAGCTTGGCGGCTACTTACTCGCCCTAACTCACTGGTTGCGCGAGTGTATAAAAGCAGGTATTATCCTAACGCTACGTTTTTTTACGCAGAAGCAGGGGGAAACCCTTCCTATATATGGTGGGGTATCCTCGAGGCAAATAATGTAATTAAGAAGGGTATATGCAGAAGTATTGGCAATGGGCGCATCACTGTTATTGCGAAAGATCCGTGGCTTGTGACGGACGACGACCTATTTGTGCGAACAGCGTTGCATCAATCAGTAGCAGAGGCTCCAGTATGTTCCTTGATGAATCCGGCAGACATAGGATGTGATGTTGATTGCGTGAGGGACGTCTTTGATGAGCAGGATGCCAGAGCCATTCTCAATATCTCGGTAAGTAGAAGACAACCCCCTGATGCATGGGTTTGGAGAAGGGAGCCAAAGGGGAATTATTCTGTGAAAACATCCTATAGAATGCTCGTAGGCGAGACACAAGCTGATAAACCTTGGCGTCTTATTTGGCAGCTGCATGTTCCACCCAAGGTGCGGCTGTTTTGTTGGCAGCTTGCGTCTTCCATCCTGCCGACTCGGGAAATATTGCGCATGAAGTAAGTGGCATGCCATATTTCATGTCACATGTGTGGAACTCAAGATGAATCCACTGCCCACCTTTTTAGATATTGCCCAAGAGTTGCTACTATCTAGGCGAGTTTCAAGCTGTCATCTACAGCCTACGACCGAGGTAATATAATTGATTGGTTCTTTGAGCTTTTGACTTTACTAAATGGGGATATGCCATGCAAATTTGTGATGTTATGTTGGGGGCTATGGGGGAGTAGGAATGATCTGGTATGGAAGGGAGTCCCGTTTGCTGCAGATTTGGTTGTGCATAAATCACTTACCTACTGGGCAAATCGGCATGCAGTGAATGTGAATGAGAATGGGCAGAATGGGACCATCACGTTGAAGCAAAGTAGGAGTCGCCTGATATAGGGAGGATAAAGCTAAACACAGACGCATCTCTGGATGATAGCAACAATGTCATGGGGCTAGGATGGTTATTCCGGGGCAGCGAGAGGTTCTCGAGTACCGGGGCAGTATACGATCGCAGAGACGGAGATGCTATGTATCTGTGAAGCTCTCTCTTGGTTGAAAGATAACGGTATGCGGGACGTAGACGTAGAAATGGACTCCCAGTTGTGTTATTATGCTTTGCAATCTAGTTCATTCTATTTAGCTTTTGGTTACTTAGTAGATGATGTTAAGGAAGTTGTCTCTTTGATAGATGGGGTCAACTTTGACTTTGTAATTAAAGCGATCTGCAAATCGTGTAGCCCACACTATAGATCGGGCAGCCATTTCACAATCAGGTTGAGGGGAGTGGCTAGATTCGCCCCCTCATTATCTTGTTGCTACGCTTTTGTCTGATTCAATGAATTAAAATCCGTTCTTCAAAAAAAAAATGTATTTATAAATATTATATTAATATAGATGTGTGTTTATTATGTGTTTTTTATTCGAACTATTTTATCCAATTAATTATGTTTCATATTTATTATGAATATCGTTTATCACGTTTAGAGTATTTTGATTTATTGTTCCCAATAATTAAGATTTTATGCTATACTCTTATTTGTAAGTTTTGTTTTATAAATTTTTATTAAAAATTATTTTATTATTTTATTTATTATAATAATAATAATATGATTCTCTACAAGCTCATTTTATTTTAAATTATTTATTTATTTTTATAAACTATAATTCTTTATTTATGAAAGCACTAATGCGGTTATTAATTATTTTGGATTTTGAAATTTAGGAATGCATCTAGAATTGTTTTCATGTGTATGTATAATTGTAAAAAACTTGTGAACCTTATTTCAAGTTATTTGACATTAGTATTTTCCCCTTATCTAATTTAAATTTTAGTTATAAAAATATATATTAATTTAATAGGGCTCATTTTTGTTGTTAGGCCTCGGCCTCTAAAATGATAAGACCGGGCCTATTTCTACGTTAAACTTTTGTGTAGTAATTATTAATCCATTATATTCCTTTCAAACACTTTATATTATTTATTTGAGAAAAAGGTCAAATAGATCCCTAAAATATTATACAAAAGTGCAATTAGGCCTTCTTCAAACTTTAAAAAAGTTCAATTAAGCACATAAACTTATCATTTTAATGCATTCATATCGAATAGTTAGTCACCTACTGGTAATACCCAGTAATTAAACTTCAGACGGTTAAATCGGTCGTTGGGGACCGTTTTTTGGTCACCGATCGCCTTCTTCCTTAGTCGAAGAAGGAAACCAACGTCACCTTCTTCTCAGTTGAAGAAGGTGACGCTGGTCGCCTTCTTCCTGGAGGAGGAGGCCACCGAACGTTGCCTTCTTCTACGGGAAGAAGGCGACCTCACAGACGAACAATCTGGTCGCCTTCTCATGCGAAGAAGGCGATCTGTCCGGTCGTCTTCTCCAGTTGAAAACGTCATCGAAAATTGTTTTTTTTTTTGTTTTGTTTTTAATAGTGGTGAACAGTGGTTAGCGGGGGTCAACGATGGCCAACGTCGATAATTTTATCGTTAACCTGTTGGTTCCCGGTAAATCAGACTTATTTGACTCATTTTGACAAGTTAGACTGTTTAATTGCACTTTTTTAAAGTTTAAGGGCCTAGAAATACTAATCTGGCCAGCACTTTGCCCCTTAATTGGGTTGGCCTATTGCGAACGGAGATTAGTCTAAGTATGGTACAGGCTTAAAGGTGCCTCCTACAATTAGGGTATGCTCATGGCACCTCGTGATCTAACCAAAAAATAAAATTAAGGGCCTAATTACACTTTTGAATAAAATTCAAGGGTCTAATTGATCCTTTTCCCTATTTATTTTTATCTATGTCAAATAGTGATTAAATGAAAATTAAGCAAATATTAACTTATTAGTCTGAGAATTTGTGTAATCACATGTGTTAAACAAAACAAATGAAATCAATTTAATTGTACAATTATTGAATTTAACAGTTATGTTTACGATCATCATTTTCATTCATTCTTTCCAAAAAAGTTCAACCTCAACCCTAAAAACCCCACACCCCGACCCATCATTTGCATTCATTCTTCATCCTCATACATATATAATTTGCCTCAGTGTGAGTATTAACTCGACCAAATGTGTGAGTACATGAGGCTATGGGTATATGATGAGGCCAAGTGTAAATATGTAAGTGTGGAATTTATAAATTAGTACTATCAACCAATCACAAAGTATTTGAATTAAGTACAAATTAAATAGAGTTAATACCCAAAATCGTCCTCGACTACAGTGGTTTTTCTCAATTTTGTCCTAAACGACTTTGGTGACCTAATATCGTCCCAGACTTTTGTGTTTCGCTCAATTTAGTCCTCCATTTGTTATTCCGTCAAATTGGTGTTAAATAAAGGGACAATTCAGTAATGTCAATATTGATCTCTCTTTACTTTCAACTTGTGAAGTGCGAAATTCCTCTCTCTTGTACGAATTACACCCAGAATTACTCCCGGACCTGCAAATCAAATTTTATATTCGCAGTTTTAGGAGTAATTATGGGAGTAATTCGTTAAAAAAAAAAGGATTTCGCAGTTCACATGTTTATGAGTAAAGAGATGCCAATATTAAAATTACTGAATTGTCTATTTATTTAACACCAAATGGACAGAATAACAAATGAGGGACTAAATTGAGCAAAAACACACAAGTCTGGGACTAAATTGAGCGAAACACAAAAGTCTGGGACGATATTAGGTCACCAAAGTCGTTTAGGACGAAATTGAGAAAAACCACTATAGTCGAGGACGATTTTGAGTATTAACTCAAATTAAATATGTATTCATTTACATGTAAAACGCATTCTATTGCAAAAATTTAAACGGTTTACATATTTCTTCTTCTTCTTTTTTATTTTTCTTATTTGAATATGTAGATATCTAATTGCTTGTCTCATGCCCTTATGTAGTTGGCATTTGGTGAGTCATCATCATATCAACTAGATAGCTTGACATGAAACATTGAGTCTCCCCTTGCTAGGGCTTGAGGGGACAACTTCATATTCTCCTAGCAATAATAATGCTTCAACCTTCACTACTTCATCATCTCCATTATTCTCCATCTTCATCTCCTCCTCTGAGCTTAATTTCTTGGACTTAGAAGTCCTCACATAATATAACACCACCATAGCAACCAATATAAACATGGCAACCACCAACACTGCAATAATACACGACACAATTTATTATTTGCTTGTCATAACACTCATAATTGTGGTTTATGTATTCACTATTCAGTATTGTTGACAAATCACATAGCTTCAATCACTTGAAAAGTGATTGTTAGTCTAGTTGTTTACAAATTTTAATGACCTTTTTAGTTAGGTTGTTGATATCACTAACCATTCTTGTAGGTGGTCAATAAAACTCAACTGGTTATAGAGGTGAAACTTTGGAAGAATGACCAGGGATCGAGTCTCACCAGCGGCAGTGTGGGAGCAACCTCTCAAAGTGAGGGGGGCCCCTTGTGCGCAGTGAGCACCGGTCTAGCCTCTATGGTTCATGTTCAGTTGAGTCCTCATGATTTACATCCTCCCAAATGCTCTGTCGGGCCGAGATGTGGGGGGCCCTTAGGGTTGGGGTTCAGCCTTTTAGAAGAATAAAACTCAAATTTTGATCAAAAATCTTAAATTTTGACATTTTCTTGTGATTAAAAATATTAAATTTTCTAACGGTATCAACTTGCCAATTTAGAAAAATAAAAAATAAAATAGTCCTCTTTGTTTTTTCTTTATTATTAGGCAAAAAATCTATCTTTACTCATGTATATATCTAAAAAGAAGTTGCAAACATTTTTGCAAAATACAAAGTAACTAATCATTTATTTTTAGTTAATGAAAGGGTGATGAGTGAGTTTTTTTTTCTTCTCAAATTAGAGTAGTTTTAGTTTTTATTTCTCAAGCTATGATATTTTTAAACTTTACATATTCATCTAACTAGGCCAGGTACATTTAGATTTGTCATCGTCATGTCATACACGTTGTCACATATATCTATCACTGCTTTATCATATTCTTCCATGCCATGTCATCTAATCTAACTTAATAATAACAATAATTTTAATTTTAAAATAGAAAAAATGACACTTTTCCCCCTAAGTTATATGCTTATAACATTTTTTTCCCATGAGTTATTCATGTATCCACATTTACCCCCTAAGTTATGTTAAAAGTGACAATTTTTCCCTCTTTTTATGTTAAATAGACATTTTTACCTTTAAAAATAAATATTTCATTTATTTTTTTCACCAACAAATTATTGTTTATATGTATGGATGACCACGATTCGGTTCGAATCTAACCGTACATTGTAGCAATCGAACCGAAACAGTAGGGACAATTCTGGTTACGATTCAAAATCGTAAAAATAAAAATAAAATAAAATATTTGTTAAATTTAAAAATAAGATATATATATATATATATATATATGTGTGTGTGTGTGTGTGTGTGTGTGTGTGTGTGTGTGTGACTTCTAATGAGAACCCTTCTCCCGTGAGAACTGCGAACTTGTACATAAAAGCACACAATCTCATATTTCAATGCTTAATGCACACAATTTTTCCTGCAATATATATCCAAACTGTATGCTCCTTAAAAGTTTAATATAATTTTGTGACTCTTAAAAAGATGTCTGATTCTGCCTAGCTAGGAATCTAGAAGTCCATTATGGCATGCTTGACCAGCAAAATACTTTCATCTACTAAATATAGACTTATAGAGTGAGCAGAGGTACCAATTAAGAAATCTTGAAAGACAATTTACCTTGATAAGCTGCAATCTTGATGAACATTCCTCCATGGTGCCCTGCAGCTTCTTCACCACCACCACTCATCTTCCAACTCAATCTCAGCCCAAAACTGTTATCATTCAAGTAAGGACTATACGAGAACGGAATGGCCACAGTCTTCACATGCTGGCAAGATATTGGAACACTCATACATGTCTCCACAATGTAAAAATGGAAGCCAGAAACACTGAGGCAAGGGACTTGAAGGTAAGGAGGGGGGAGCTGTGCTAAACACTTTAGGTATTTGTATTCCTTCAAGGTGTAGTAGTAAGTGAAGGGTGTCTGAGAGAGGTTGAGGTTCAAGAAGACTTCATGAACGCAGTTTTTGGGGTCGAGGAGATCTACCCTTTGGAGATCATAGGAGATTGACTTCACAACTAAGTCTCCATAAGAAGGGAAATGCAAAGTTGTGGTCTTGTTGTGGTTGCAGTTTAGGGCAAAACCTGGGAGCCCACATTCTTGAGGTTGCTGGTTTTGGATGTGGAAAGGGTATTGGATGGTTAGATCTTGTGATGAGGTGTTGTTGCATTTTAATGGTGGACAGTTATGGAGGTTTGAGGCTGTAGTTGTGGATGGAGAGATTGAGAAGAAAGAAATGAAGAAGAAGAAGAAGGTAAAGATGAAATCCATGAGGATCAGAGGAGCTAGCAAGAAACTGAGAAAGACAATAAAGGGGAGACTTGATTAAGTACTCTGTAATGAATTGTTTAGATGAAGGAACATGAATGGGAAAAAGACAAAAAGTAGAGGTGAGAATCAAAAGTTAATAAACTGAAGTGCTACATCAGCAAGGTATCAAAGAAAGATGTTTATATGTTTAGTTCACAATCTCAACTATTATCTAAGCAAAACAACCTCTTTAGTTCACAATCTCAACTATTATCTAAGCAAAACAACCTAGGTGAGGTGAGATTGTAGATTGGTTAGACTATAATATTATCAACTACGTACGTTTTTAGATTTGAAAGAAATTACTTGTAATAATAGGTCGGTTCGCCAACTCAATTCCTACCCATAACCAGCTAGGTTTGGAAAGACTTATCTTTATAAGTCAATATTAAATCGACCCATAAAAGCACGAATTACATAGTAACATCCTTTGATTTACAGTGTGGTTTGGGTGAAACTCGTCTTGTGACCTTGTGACACAATGGTAAACCAGCCTAAATTATTCATAGAAACTCAAAAAAGATTAATATGTAACTCTTATGAGTGTCCAACTTGAAATTTTGTGATTATCAATCCAACATGTACTAACATCCTTGCACCAAAACTTGGATTACCTTATCTAGAAGGCACTGTTTAAAGTCAGTCAATTTGACCAACTCCAAAGATGACTTCCAAGAAGGGGCAATTTTCCAAGTCAAGATGTTTGTTTCTCGGAAGGCCACAAAGTCTTTCTTAGAAGTAAAAATATCCCATCAACATCTTCTTTTATTTCCGTTAACCACTCATTCTCAGATGTCCGTTTCTGAAGTTCTTATCCATTGATTTCTAGCAAAGGGATTCATAGCAAAGGCATTATTAGCCTGGTAATATAATAAATTAGATCTCTTGCTGGGCATAAATATATAAAACAATATGTAATCTCCCCGTAAACTTGAACAAAACACATCCTTCAATTTCGTACCAGTTTCTTCAGACATGCCAAACATAAAATCCAAAAAGTAGGATGATAGAATTGGCAAGTCATACAATTACAGATTTGGATACTGAATACTGAAGCAACTCATTAAGCTTAGTCGAGATGAAAGATATACACAACTACATTTAACAGCACGGCTCATACAAATAACAGGAATCCTGTGAGGTGTTTAATGAATTGGAGAGGAAAACATGGTTTGGAGCGGGGTAATGTTAAACAAGCTCTTTTGATAGTATGACCGATTTTTGGTTCAAAAATGACACATCACTATTTCGTCCAGTTAGAAGTTGATGGTCAACCTCCTCCCCATCACTAAGCTCTGTTAAAGATGATGCACCAGAATCTGTCTCATCAACTGCAGTGGCGACGGAATTTAATCAGCAAACCAAGAAGATCATGTCATGAAAAGACAACAAATATCGAAAGAAATTATCACCACGAATGAACAGCATTTCTTTAACAAACAATTATTCATTTTGAGGCATGATTAACATGTTCAACCCTTTGCGCAAAACTCACGTGTTGAAAAATAAAGAGTTAGTTTATCTATAGGTTTGTGTCTGTTTATGAATAGGTGTCAGTTATGGATAGTTACTTAAGTTATGTGTTTGTATATATATATATATATATATGTATTATGTTTCTTTATTAGAAACATAGATAATACTAATATATTTCAGTCTTATATACATTTTCTATTCCTTGATTCTTCATCATTGCTTCTGCTTAACTGGCGGGTGGTGTTATTCTCCACCCGCCAGGCCATTCCATCTTCCAAATTCAACATCACGCACACAAAAAGCAAAGAAACAATAAAATTTCAGTTTTCCCCCTCTACTCTTTTATACAAATTTACTATGGAGCACCGTGAATAGACTCTCAATTACCAATAGCTCAAGAATTAGATAATAAGATGGTAAAAGCTTTCTACCATGAAATACCACTATGCCATTTGGGATTAAAAGTTTAAAACTGACCTGCACATGTTTGACTATCAGGAAGACGCCTGACAGCTGTAACCTGAATATTTTCTGATAATAGACAATTGCAGAAAGAGCCTGAAACATCAATGAATAACTGTGTAAGATAAAAGTGATGGGGCAACCTAGATGCAGCCACGAATAGCCAAAATTGGTGCTGCAAGGTTTATGAATCTGGGCCAGTGACATATTTATCCCACCAGAGGCAAACATTACTTAACCAATGGCTTCCTAACAGTTAATCCATTAAAAAATGTTAAAAATGCAGACATTAATCCATCCTTCTTACCTACACGTGCCAGGCGATTAACCCATCCAGGAATTGGTTTTCCAGTAAGTTGCATACAGACTTCATCAGAGAAATGGTTGCAATTCTTGGCGATTAAATGATAAGAATCCCCATGATATTTTCTAGAAAGTTGCTCCATAAATGAACGAACTTCTGAAGGAGACATGTCTGTACTGCCTAGCAGTATTGAGCGTCTAAATATGAAACCTGGGCAGGTTCGTGGTTCAACTTCAAAAACCCCACTACTTGAGAAATCATGGGCTCCATATCCGTATTCCATACCATGTACTGTGTCAAATAAAAAGCATAATATCACAACTACATTAATGATAGAGAGCATCTATATCAAAAGATCACCAAACTAATCATAACTGTTAAATGTAATATTTGTGGCTCCTACACTGCAACTTCCTACATGTTAATCATAACTGTTAAATGTAATATTTGTGGCCCCTACATTGCAACTGTTAATCATAACTCCCTACACAAAATTTCTCATGAACATTGCAAAACATATATATGATCCCGAGGGAAATACCACTCTCTTTCTGGAGTGAAGTATTGTCACCCTACAGGTGAGAGATTGCAAAGTTATATGGCAATATGGTGATTGCACACCAAAAAATAAAAAATAAAATCAGAATCTTGAGGTCATGATGGAGTAATAGCAGTAAATTGTGTTCAGTGTGTTAGGTTTCAATTCAATGTCTAAAATGAAAGTAACCAAAGGATCAAGGTTATTGTTTATGAAGGCCAAGAAAGGATGTTATGATCTTCCAAGGGCTTCAATTAGTGCTGAGGTCTTAGTGGGCATATTATAATGGATGAGGATAGAATTGAACAAGAAATGTAATTGCATTGGAATTGGAGAAAGGGATGGCAATAAATTTGGGAAATTTTGAGAAAACATCCTAATGAAAAGGCTACATTACTCTTGGCCAGATATGCTTACACCTCATTAGACTCTCTTCACACAGATAGAGGATCTATTCAAGCTTATCCCTACTTCCTAGGTTTTCCATTGTAAGCACAAAGGGAAAGGCACGATAATTACTTGTGATATTGAGAAAGTTGAGAAGAAGGGATAGGAAAAAATCAGTAGTAACAGAAGAACTCTATAATTAAACAAAAAGCAAAAGAAACTTCACTTAAACTGCCCAACCGAAGAAAAAAAAACACCAGAGAAAAACTAAGCAAGCTGGATGGCACAAGATGCTGAAACCTTAAGGAATGGAAAGAAACCATCATTATTGTGGTACACCTCATCCATGCAGGTTCTAGGTCTCTGTGGTAAGCCAAGCCAGGCTTTGGGTGCATGGTTGATAAAGTAAGTTGTATTATTTTCTAAGTAGAGAAAAAAAAAAGATTTCACCTTCTCAGCAAATTATAGGACAGTAGAGGTGATTTTAATAGAGGTTAGCCTGGTTGAATTAGGAGTTTTTTTCATGGATTAGAAAAGGTCTGGTGAATAAACCAAAGAAAAAAAAAAGTAGTATAGTTAAATAAACAGGATTATGAGTGAACCCTTGGAAACACTATTGAAGTTAAAATCACGTGTTACCTTATTTTGCTTTATTTATAAGCAAATGTTTCCTTTCCTTATACTCCCATAATATTTTATAGTATCTTGTGGAAGGTAATCAAAGCATCATCTTGCAGATACAAATAGCCTGTTTCAATACTAACGTACGCAAGACGAATAGTACTTATCGGAAAGAAGAAAGTATACAAGATGAATTATAGTCACACATTACCTTAGCTTAGGAAGCTTGAGGAAAAATTGGATGTAATTGGAGTATTATACTGTCAAATCTTTATCAAGTTTCTAGTGACCAAACAATTCAATGCAAACATATATTATTCTCTAGTGATATAATGCATTAAAGATTTGTATCTTGGATAAATGCAAACAGTTATACCTTCAACTATATGCACACCTCACAAAGATTTATCTCGACTACATGTTACTTTTGACTGGAAGGATGATAGCTAAAAACAAGAAAAAGTGATAGGGGTAGCAATCTAGATAAAGATTGAAACTTGCTATTATGTAATGCACAGTCTAACTGCAATCCCTCATATATGGCAGAGCTATAGTAACTTTGCATTGCCAGAATTTTATGATAGTGTCGCCTAAGGCAGTAAGAAAGGCACAAAATATACAACAATTGTAAATCACTTCTCCAAAAATAGGAATGATTTTTTTTTTTTTGAATGCTACTGACTCTATTACATTGTAGTATTGTTCAAACGTACTTTCTCAACCTAATGAAGCACACAGAATTAACAACGCCTCCACTGAGGCTCGATCTCATGGGTCGATCTCATGACCTCCCACATGGGAGAGGTCACTACATGCCATCTGAGCGCAAAGTGCTTGGCAGCAAAAATAGGAATGATTGTTTAAAAATAAAACTGAAAACGGAGTACTTTAATACCTTCAATACCAGAATGAAACACTCCAAGGCCGAACCAATACAGGTAATTGTTTATAGTTGTAAGATCGTAGACATTTAGGTACAATAAAGTGCTACTTTTCTCTCCATTTCCGTTCAGCTCCTTGGAAGAACTGGAACTTAACGGAAATAATCGCATCGTGTATATATATGCCTCAAGCTGAAGCTACCCGCCACCCCTCAATAACCCAACACCTATAGCGGAGTATATGTCTACAATCTCCAAGCTCAATACCCACCAGGCGCAATCAATTAAGCCCTACCAAAATTCGAAAATGTAAAGAAAATAGCCATCAGTTCAGAGTACAACTTCACCGCTCCCATAACCATACTGATTACTGAGTTCTAACGAATGAAATTTTGCAGTTACACTGTAGAAAAAATTGAGCAGGCGAATAGTAAAGATCGAGCTGCTAGGTTAATAATAATAATGGGAATTCAATTATTCAGATAAATTCATAAATATATATACATACGTACTCCGTATCTATTATGTGTGTGTATGCATGTAAAGGAAGCGAGAGAGGGAAGGGAGATTACTGAGACATAGTACGCGAGTATCCAACAGGCGACGTTGAGAGAAAAGTGCAGCGCCGCCCTAAGATCGCCACCGGGATCGGAGGATTTCGGAGGCGCGTGGGCAGCGGCAGTCCGTGGAGGAGGGAGGTTAAGCCTCACAGGAGGGTGTATAGGTATTTGCTGGCGTTGAGGTGGGAAAAGACGAAAAAAGTGGAAAAAGGTTCATTTTGGAGTAAAGATATTGATTTTCTTTTTCCTTTTCCTTTCAAAATATTTTTTTTTTTTAAATTATTTTATTGGGGTTAGTTTAGTGCATTAATTAGTTATGAGATTAAGAATTGTACGTGTTAATTTTTTTCGAATACTGATGAGCCTTAGCATTCTACGCGTTTATTTATTTAAAAAAATAGATGATTATTGGTTAAGTTGGTTTTTTTTTTTTGTGTGTGTGTGTAATTTACTATTTTAATACTTTGTTTGCCATGCTGTAGTTGCAAGTTGCAATATGTTTTTTTTTTTTTAATGCTACCGACTCTATTATATTGTAATATTTGTTCAAACATACTTTCTCAGCCTAATGAAGCACACAAAATTAACAACATCTCCACCGAGGCTCGATCTCATGACCTCCCACATGAAAGAGATCACTACATGCCATCTAAGCACAAGGTCTTGGCCTCCATGATTTTTTTTAATAATATGACTTAAATTAATTTAATCAAATTTTATTTCAAATTGGCCACTGAACGTAACCTGAAAATGCAATTAGGCCACTGAACGAACAAAAAGTGCAATTAGGCCACTGAACACTCCAAAAACGTGCAATTAGGCCACTGAACTCTCCAAACGTATGCAATTTCACCGGATAGCAGGTTACCATCAATTTTAGCAGGTTACCTGCTTACGTGGCAGCTGAGTTGGCATTTTTAATAATTTTTAAATAATTTTTAATAATTAATTTTAATAATAAATTTTATAAAAAATTGAAAAAAAAAATAAATAATAAATAAAATAAAGTCATTTTTATTTTTTAAAAATTTTTTTAAATAAAAATTTATTATTAAAATTTATTAAAAATGATTTAAAATTTATTAAAAATGTCAACTCAGCTGCCACGTAAGCAGATAACCTGCTAAGATTGAGGGTAACCTGCTATCAGGTGAAATTGCACATTTTTGGAGTGTTCAATGACCTAATTGCACTTTTTTTTCGTTCAGTGGCCTAATTGCATTTTCAGGTTACGTTCAGTGGCCAATTTGAACCTTATTCCTAAAAATAATTTGAACGTATTTCATGTCATTTTAATTATCTTATATCTTTTGTATAAAGAAAGGGTGAGAGTTATATTTCAAAATTTTAATACTCTTTTTCTATCCAAAATTATTGTGTTTCATGTTTAAAGAATTGTACATTTTATGCTTGGACAGAAATGTCCTATCATTAATATTATAACAGTGTTGCTTTGTACAAGAGCAATCACATCTGTTTAGATTTTATTGGGTTTTTTGACATAACATTAGGATAGAGAAAGAAGAGGAGGAAAAAAAAAAAAAGACAATGAGAAAAAAAAAAAAACGAAAGCTGACATCTCAAAATAATAATAATAATAATAATAATAATAATAATAATAAAAGGGGCATAACGCGCCCAATTGGTGCGTGTACAACACGTACTCAACTGGCCGCTAATGTGAGCGAGTTTGGCACATAGAGAGATTACTTTATCCCTTTCTCTCTCCAATGGGATCCACAAAAAACATGTTACTACAGAAGAAAAAATCACCATAAAATCATACTCCACATCAATAAAAAAACCATCTTCAAATTTTTAATGTGTCAAAAATCACCAAAAAAGCAGTGGTGTGATTGCTCTAAAAGAATATTGTCCACTCAAGAGTACAACCAACCACTCCAAGCCCTCGAAACGATACCATGGAAGTTGATGACAAGATGACTGCCCCCCGTGATTTGGTGGCGTCTGGCCATGCTCTTGTGAGCATTCTGAATCCTAAATTATGATCTGCTTACTTTGGAATGGCCAAGGTGTGGCCTCTAGATCATTTTCCCGCACCTTGAAACAAATCATCAGAGAGTACGATGCCTAAATAATGTGTTTACTCAAGCTTAAGGTCTCGGGAGAACATGCCAACAAGATATGTTCTGCAATTGGCTATGATGAATGGATGAGAATAGAAGCCGGGGGATTTTCTGGGGGAATTTGGGTATTCTGGAGAGCTATCGTCCAAATCAATATTCACCATACCCACCCTCAGTTTGCCATATTGCAAGTTTGCGAAGACAGTTAGGAATCTCCTACGACAGCTGCTGCGATTTAATTTGTTCAGCAACAAGTTCCCTTTGGCGCAGCTCAATTTGTCCTTTCTGGGCAATAGCTTCGACAATTCTACCTGGGCAGCGTACAAATCTCTTTGATAGCTTTTAATTATCTTACAGCGTGTTTGGTTCATGAAATAGGTCGGGAATGGAATACCATTCCCAGGAATAGACCTATTCCATTGTTTGGTTTTTCTTTTCATGGCTGAGAATAGCATTCTTGGGAATGAGCTATTCCCTTTGCAAGGAGAATAGCCATTCCTAGGGAACCCCCCTGGTATTAACTATTCACAAGTATTTGGGAATAGCTTTTGTACTCTAATGGCCCGTTTGGTTCATGGAATAAATTTGGAGGGAATAGGAATGCTATTCCATAGTAAATGGAATAGGTAAGGAATAGAATAGGAATTATATTCTGTTGTTTTGTTCGCTGAAGGAATGGACATTGAGAACTGTATTCCAAGGTTTAGTTGGTTAAGGAATAGAAATAGAATATATGTTTAAAAGACATAAATGCCCCTGTACAAAAATTATTGCTACTGGCTCATCAACAAGCATATTTCTTGGTGGCCTTAACCCTCCTATAGTTTGTAACATTGCACAGAACATCATAAAAATATGTCGATTCATCCTAAGTTGAGATATGCATTTTACATCACACAAATACACCGTTCGTAACACATATTCTCGAGACCTTAAAGTATTAATAATATAAGATTTCACTCGTTTTTTATTAGAACACAAAATTGTCAACGTAGAGATCAACATTATAATCAATAAACTCACAGAAGCACACATATCCAACCACACACGCAACACAGCGACACATCTTTTCCTTCTTTCAGTATGGGTTATTAAACGCAATCGAGCCATAACTGTAAATTAAATTTAAAACTTACACTAATCAAAACTATAACAATAACTCATACATCTATCAAAAACACATATATTCAAATACAGATCATAATAAACAATATAAAACATAATACATACAAATTACAAAAATATAGAACATAAAACATATAAATATATATACACACTGTTGCAGTGTATATATAGTGTATATATACATATATATACACTGCTCACGCAGCAGTGTATATATATATATATATATATATATATATATATATATATATATATATATATATATATATATATTTATTTATTTATTTATTTATTTATTTATTTATTTATTTATTTATTTATATACACTGCTGCAATGTATATAAATATATGTATACATTGCTCCGTGAGCAGTGTATATTTATATTTATATACACTGCTGCGTGAGCAGTGTGTGTGTGTATATATATATATATATATATATATATATATATATATATATATATATATATATATAAAATAATAAATTTAGAAGAATACATTGATGATAAATTCCAATTTGATTTTGATCAGCACGGGCCAGAGAAGAAGCAATGAGCAATGGTGAGAGAAGATGTGAGTGAGCGGGAGAAAGATTAACGTAAAAAATTAGGTTAAAGAAAGGGTTAAAAAAAATATATTATAATATCTATTCCTGAGCGTTCAGTAATAGGATAATACCAGGGGTGTCTGGTATTAGCTATTTCCTTATTTGAGATAACAGGCTATTACTAGGAATATTATTTTTAGTAATAGAAATGGTTACCAAACAAAGGAATAGACCCATTACTGGGAATGCTATGCTATTCTCGGCCTATTTCGTGAACCAAACGGGCCGTAATATCGGAAATACCCTTTGTGTGTGTGTGTGTGTGTGTATGTGTGTGTGTGTGTGTGTGTGTGTGTGTATATATATATATATATATATATATATATATATATATATATATATATATATATATATATATATATATATATATATATATATATATATATATAATCGCACTCAGGCGCGAAATAGGAATGAATTCTGTCCGTCCACGTGTCAAGATCTAATGGATGAGAAACATTGACTTTTTTTAAAAAGCGCGGTGGCATTTTCGTAAATAATTGAACATCGATGTGCAAGTAAAATGTATTACAAGTGCATGTAAAATGTATTATAGGTGCAAGTAAAAATTTACACTGAGCATCAATACTAAGTGCACCTATAGTTATAAGTAGTTGCACTTATAGTTCTAAGTAGTTGCACACATAGTTATAAGTAGTTGCACCTAGGTGCATGAATGTTTGCAAGTGGTTTTCAAGGGTATCACTACCCGCTGAACTCAGATCAATGAATGTTAACAAGGCAAAATTACATGCACTTATTGATGAAAGTAGGTGCACATATAGTTATAAGTAGTTGCACCTATAGTTATAAGCACACCCAGGTGCATGAATGTTTGCGGAAGTGAATGCTAACAAGGCAAAATTACATGCACTTATATGTGAAAGTAGGTGCACTTGTAAGTAATTTTACTTGCACTTCGATGCTCAATTATTTACGAAAATACCACCGCATTTTTTTAAGTTATTAGATCTGGACACGTGTCACGCGCTGATTCGTTCGCATATTCCTTCCTGGGCACTTATTCGCACCTGAGTGCATCCCTATATATATATATATATATATATATATATATATATATATATATATATATAAAGGTTGAGTTCACATAAGGACCACAATATATAGAGGATTGTGCGGACTGATTACGGGCACACAACAAATTAGTATCATGCACACAATTTAATACACAATGGCACACAAGAATACATGTAAACATCATGTTTCGAACTTAGGCTCTATTAATTAACAAACATATGCACACGACATACAAACTGTGCCACACAACTACATTAGGCCAGACACACGACATACAGACTAATGGCACACGACTACACCAGTCCGCACTCTCCTCTATAATATAATGGTTCTCATT